GCTCTTTTGACCCTAGAGGAGTCCCTTGGCAATCCCTTCTCCTCCAGGACGTGATCCAAAATGAGTAAACTACTCTCCCTCCCCATGTCCCAGGCATTTTCAAATTGCTGTTTCTATACTGAATCTCCATGGGCTTTTTTTAAGAACAGGGCTCCTTTTTAAGGGCTCCATGCTCTAAGGGCAGGGACTCCACTTCCTGTTGCCCTCCAGGCTCTCCCAGAACCAAGTCCACTGATTTTTAAAATTCTGGGCTTTAAGTACTATTGGTTTTAAGAACTGATGAAATTCAAAGCCAAACGTTATGGTTATCTGTCTTCATTGAGTGAGCTTCCTTCCAAGTGTAATCATCTGTTCCTCTCCCCATGGCAGATGGTGACACTGTTTTGCTCCCCACTGCATTTCTGCCCTTCCTACCCTCTTCAGTGTGGTCTCTTCTCTGCCTTTAGTGGTGGAGTTTGTTTTTCCAGTCTTCAGGTCATTTCCTGGGTTATTTATGATGTAACTGTTATCTAGTTGTAGCCATGGGACGAGGTGAGCTTAACATTCCTCCTACTCTACCATCTTCCCAGCCCTGGAATATTTCTTTTCTTCTCTCTTTTAAACATTTATTTAGTTATTTTTGAGAGAGAGAGAGAGAGAGAGAGAGAGAGAGAGAGAGAAAGAGAAAGAGAGAGCAAGAGAGCTCATATACTCGTGAGCAGGTGAGGGGCAGAGAGAGAATCCCAAATAGGTACCATGTTGTTAGTGCAGAGCCTGACACAGGACTTGATTCCATGAACTGTGAGATCATGACCTGAGCTGAAATCAAGAGTCAGACACTTAACTGACTGAGCCACCCAGGCGACTCTTTTCTGTTCTCTTTTCTTTCTTTCTTTTCTTTTCATAGGTGAGGTCCTTCCTTTCGAACTTACATTTTTTCCAACTTTATCCAGATACAATTAACAAAAGCTGTGTCACTTTAAGATATACAATGTGTATCATTGATTTTATATGTATATATAGTGAACTAATTACCACAATAAGATTAGTTAACTCTTTCATCACCTCACAGTTACCTTTGTGTGTGTGTGATGAGAACATTTAAGATCTACTCTCTTAGCAAATTTCAGTTATATAGTATAGCATTGTTAATTACAGTCACCACACTGTACATTATTAGATCCCCAGAACTTCTTCTCTTTATAACTGAAAGTTTGCAGCCTCTTACCAACATCTCTTCATTTCCCCTGCCCCCAGGTCTTGGCAAACACCAGTGTACTCTTTTTTTTTTGGAGTTCAACATTTTTAGATATCACATATAAATGAGATCATAAAGTATTTCTGTTTGATTTCTTTCAGCATAATGCCCTTAAGATTCATTCACGTCACAAATTGCAGGATTTTAATCTTTTTTTGTGGCTGAATAATATTCTATTATATATGTACCACATTTTCTTTTTTTTAAAATTTACTTTTTCTTTTTTGAGTATAGTTGACACACAATGCTACATTAGCTTTAGGTGTACAACTTAGTGATTTGACAAATTTATACATTATGCCACAAATATAGCTACCATCTGTTCCAGTACATCACCATTACAGTATCATTGATTGTATTCCTTATGCTGTGTCTTTTATTCCCTTGACTTATTCATTCCATAACTGAAGGCCTGGAGGCCTGTATTTCCCTTTCCCCTTCACCCATTTGGCCCAGCCTCCCCCCCCTCCCCTCTAGCAACCATCAGATTTTCTCTGTATTTATAGGTCTGACTCTGCTTTTTGTTTGTTTATTCATTTCTGGGGCTTTTTTTAGATTCCACTTGTGAGTGGAATCATTTGTCTTTCTCAGTCTGACTTACTTCATTTAGCATAACACACTCTAGGTCCATCCAGGTTGTCTCAAATGCTACAATGTTGTCCTTTTTTATGGCTGTGTAATGTTCCATTGTGTGTGGAGATATGGAGATGTACATATATCTCCATAATTTGGCTATTTGTAAATTTGGCTGTTGTAAATAATGCTGCAGTAAACAGAGAGATGCATATATCCTTTCGAATTAGTGATTTTGTATTCTTTCGGTAAATACCTAGTAGTGGAATTATTGGAGCATATAGTATTTCTACTTTTAATTTGGGGGAGAACTCCCATACTGTTTTCCAGAGTGACTATACCAGTTTACTTATTATTTCTTGTCCTTTTGAGTTTAGTCATTCTGACAGGTGTAAGGTGATATTATGGTTTTGATTTGTTTCCCTGATGATTAGTGATGTTGAACATCTTTTCATGTGTCTGTTGGCCACTTGTATGTCCTCTTGGAAAAACGTCTGTTCAGGTCTTCTGCCCATTTTTTATTCAGATTGGTTTTTTTCGGTGTTGAGTTGTAGAAGTTCTGTCTGTATATTGGATATTAACCCTTTATTGGATATATCATTTGTAAATATTTCTCTAATTCAGTAGGCTGAATTTTTTTGTTCGTTGTTTCCTTTGCTATGCAAAGCTTTTTATTTTGATGTAGTCCTAATAGTTTATTTTTGCTTTTGTTTTCCTTGTCTCAGGAGATAATATCTAGAAAAATGTTGCTACAGCTAATATCAGAGAAATTACTGCCTGTGTGGTCTTCTAGAAGAGATGGTTTCAGGTCTCACATTTAAGTCTTTAATCCATTTTGTGTTTATTTTTGTGTATGGTGTAAGAAGGTGGTTCAGTCTCATTCTTTTACATATAGATGTCAAGTTTTTCCAGCACCATTTTTTGAAAAGACTGTCTTTTTCCCATTGTATATTCTTGCCTCCTTTGTCATAGATTGACCATGTAATTGTGAGTTTATTTCTGGACTCTATTTTGTTCCATTGATCTATGTGTCTATTTTTGCGTTATTTTTCCTCGATAATTTTCTTCTCAAAGTCTCTTTTCTGTCTTCCAGGAAATAATTTTAGCTATATATTGGATCTTCTAGATTGATCCTCTGTTTTATTTTAATAATCCTATTCATTTCTTTGGCATTTAGTTCTCCTTTATAGCTATCCCTGATTGTTATTTTCCAACTCTTTTTAAATTTTTGTCATATTTTGTCTTTTTTAAAGTTACTTCATATTTTCTTATTATTTCTTTTTTAATAGTGTCCTATTCTTATTTCACAAGAATCTTGGTTCAGCCTTATCCAAGATTAACTTCATCTTTTGGAATGAGGAAGCACAGAGCCTGGTTGTGGGTATTAGAGAAGGAAATCTAGGGGTCTTAATTGAACCCCTTCAAAATTTTTAGCTAGACCTCTTTTTTGCAGTACCAACCCTATACCCATCTTTTGAGATGATCAGTACCTTCAATTCTCAGCTCTTTCTGGAGTCCCACAACACTAGTGGGCTTGCTGTTTTGTTGGTAGCCTGTCTGCCCATTTCAGGCTTAGGCTTTAGCATTCTCTGGCCTGCTAAATCAGTTATCCCCTTGTGTACCTTATTTCCACTTCTAAAATTTTACTGACCTCTCTCATCATCTTGTTACTTCCTCCCAATTTATTTATCGTTTGGTTCGATTTTTATTCCTTTGTTCTCATTTTAATAATGCTTTAGGAGACAGCAGAGATAAAGTACACATTTAATCCATTGCATGTAAATAGAAGTCTCCAAATATTTTTAATTCCTCATCTAGAATTGTCTTCACAGCCTATATACCAGTGACCTGGACATAACTAGTTTTCTTTCTTTATTCCTTCGTTTTTTGCTACTAGTAACTTGAAATGATAGCCCTGACCTGTCAAAGAGGGAATTTGCTATTGCTGACCTAGCACTTAGAAATCCTAGGTAAGGGGCTTGGGAAAAGACATAGGTTGGTATGATGGGAGCATTTTGTAGATGCATCAAGAAACAAACTAATAATTCATGTGTGTGCTGCCGCCTGCCTGTGGTAAGTGGGTATAACTGAAAGAACTGTAAATATAAATTACCCTAATTTGGATAATACTGCCTATAGTTTTGTAGTTTAGTTATTTAATGGTTCCAGGAAAGACTTCTTGAATATATTCATATAACGTTGGAACATAGTTCTCAACAAATCTAATGTTGATGATAAGGCTTAGAGTTCAATAATACTGAAAAGTTGATCTAGTAGAAACAGTGAGGGAAGAAGCCTTTAAGTAAATCTAAAATAAGATCTCATATCTGTGCATTATGGCATTTAATTACGTTGAGTAACAGTGATGTTGGATAGCAATGGGCTATAGACCTATGGCCCTACCAAGTAATTCTGAGTTCTGAATATATCTAGAACTGATTGATCAGATCAGGCCATTCCAAGAAAGTGGATGATAACCTAGGAATGCCCTGGGGGAAGTCAGTTGGAGAGAGTCTGATTTAAAATGACTATTCTGGGGCTTAAGTGAACTGAATAGTCCATAATAAAATATTGCCCCATTTTTGGAAACTAAGAATAATGCTAGTATTTCCCCAATTTCCTTGTGATTATAAGGTCTCACACTGTTCTTTAAACTGAATTAAGATTCTTCTAACCTATTTGGGGGGCTGAATATGAATCAAGCCTAAGGAGTAATTTGTTTTCTTTCCAAATGCAGAAGTAACTAATGAGAAATGTCTTTATTTTGATGGGATGTTGGTTACATTTATTAAAACTCAACCTTTTCACATAACACGTATAAATTTTATTGCATATAATTTATACCCCAATCAGTTGATTTTAAATGAGTGTCTTGTGGACTTCTAGACTTTCTCCTACTTAAATTGTTTCATGTAGCATAGTGACTAAACCCTAGTAGTTTTGCCTCTAATAAGCCATTTGACCTGGATTTCTATGACCTCTCAAGTTTTAATTCTCTGATCTGGATAATTGAGATTTTAACACTACCTACTTCAGAGAGTTGTAAGGATTAAATTTTTTAAATGCATAAAATACTTAGCATAATACCTGGCACATAGTAGATCCTCATTATGTAGTAGCCGCAAATTATTATTAACAATTACTATTTACATTGTCATTTCTCCTTTGAGTTCTTTTTATATTTTCACAGAAAACCCATATAGACAGCTGCCCTGTAACTGTCATGGAAGCATGCCTGGAAAGACAGCAATAGAACTTGGACCTCTATGGTATGTGCTTAAGCATAAGAATATACAGATGGTTCCTGACTTAGGATTTTTTGACTCTATACTGGTGCAAAAGCGATACACATTCAATAGAAAGTGTATTTCAAATTTTGCATTTTAATCTTTTCCCATGCTAGCAATATGCAATATGGGTCCTCTCTCATGATGCTGGCAAGTAGCATTAAGTCACACTTCCCAGCCAGGCAAACGATCATGAGGATCAACAACCAGTACACTTAACAACCGTTCAGTTTTTCCACTTTCAATATAATCAATAAATCATATGAAATAATCAACACTTTATAAAATAGACATTGTGCTGAATATTTTTTGCCCAACTGTTAACTAATTTAAGTGTTCTGAGAATGTTTAAGGTAGTTAGGTTATGCTATGATGTTCGGGAGGTTAGTTCTAGTACATGCATTTTCAGCTTGTAATGGGTTTATCGAGACATAATTCCGTCATAGGAATTATGTTAAGGAAGGCCAGTATTCAAAATTGATTTACATATTGATTTATTATGTGTGGTAAAAGAACAAATTTCAATTTAATTTTTTTTTAAGTCTAGGTAAATAATTATAATTCTTCTACCCCTGTGAACCTAAAGTGTTTTCTGTTTTCAGATTTTTCTATACCATTATTCTCACAAGTTTGTGACACTGCTAAGAGATGGTGAGATCAAAAAGAGCCTGGCAGATCTGCAAACTAGATCATTCATTTCCGAATTAGTAAGAATGAGGCTTTTTTCAGCTGACAGTTTGCAGAACTAGGATGTGATTATGAAATGATCACCGTAACTTCTTATAGAAGAGTCAACTGATATAAGAAGTCTTCAAGAAATTAGTTTTAAGTGTGAAGGACATGTGAAAGTACATGCTTTTGTTTTAGGTAAAGCTGTTTAGATGGGACTCACCTGCAAAGATTTCCTCACTCAGAGCCATTGTTCATGTCTTTACTCTCATGCACAGTCTCTTCCCCTTTCCCCAGATCCAGTTCAAATTGTGTCCTCTTTGAAGTTTCCGGTGTTTCACCCAAAATTTCTAAATCCCATTTTAGTAAATCTCACATTGATCATTCATTTGACACTTTAAAGTCATACATCTTTTCATATTATTTGCTAACCAAATAGTAATAGCTGTCATTCATTGAGGATATACTTAGGATTTTCTGTGTGCTATCTCAATTCCCATAACAAGACTGAAAAATTTTATTTTCTATTTTGTGATGAAGAATAAGAGACTCAAAAGCAGTAATTACTCAAGATTACATAGATAGTAAGTGGTGGAGCCAGCATGTGAATTCAGGTTTATCTGACTTGGAATTTCATATTCTGTCCATTATACCGGTCATTCTCAAATTAAATGGGAAGTCGATGAGACTTACCTTGTGCCATTTTTTAACTGAATCACCATCAGCACTGTAATTCTCCTATACCTACTCCTGTCCCACCCCACTTTACCATACACAAGGTGGATTAAGATTTACTGACAAGAATATGCATTATGAAAACTTATGTTTCACACTGTGCCCCCGTCTAGGTCCTATCTAGATTTATAGGCTTTTATAGGGTAAACACTGTCTTTTATACGTTGGTATATCTTCCACACCCGTATATACCACAGGGCTAGTAGTCTTTCACACCTTACCTGAGGGCTCAATAAATTCTTTGATTTACTGTGAGTGAAATTTCCACAACTAATCCCACTAACTTAGAGAAATAACATGATAAAAGGTGTGGGCAAATAGAAAGTAATTTTAAATTAAACCATAAATTCTTGTGACACCTGGGTGGCTCAGTTGGTTAAGCATCCAACTTCGGCTCAGGTCATGATCTCACGGTTCATGAGCTCAAGCCCCTCATTGGGCTGTGCTGACAGCTCAGCGCCTGGAGCCTACCCTACTTCAGATTCTGTGTCTCCCTCTCCTCTGCCCCTGTCCCCCTCTCAAAAGTAAACATTAAAATAAATCATAAATTCTTTAATTTCAGCATTTACTCCATCCTATAAATTAAGTTAGTTGTGATTAAATTATGGAGACTTTTTTTAAGTTTATTTATTTTGAGAGAGAACATGTGTGGTGGAGGGCAGAGAGGAAGAGATGATACCAAGCAGGCCCAAGCAGGCTCTGCACTCAATGTGCAGAGCCTGATGGGGGCTCAAATTCACGAACCATGAGATCATGCCCTGAGCCAAAATCAAGAGTGCTTAGCCAACTGAACCACCCAGGTGCCCTGAGACTTTTATTTTTAATAGACATTTCTCAAAGCCAGTTCTCTGTATTTTTTTTTTTTTTTCTTTTCCAGGTCAAGTTCCCTTTTCAATACTGGATTCCTCAAAAGAATGCTATTTGAATCTCTTCACCATGGTTTAGATGACATTCAGACCCTAATAAAGACATTAATCTTTGAATCAGAGTGTACTCCTCAAAGTCAGTTTTCAGTTCCTACGCCTTCAAATCTCAAGCAAGGTGACATTTACATTCAGGGCCTGAAATGAGTAACAATTTTATTAAAATATACATATATTTTTTTCTCATTTTAGTAGACTAAAAGAACTAAAAGTCTGTTGTGGTTTTATTATCCTATACCTGCTTTATACAGAGAGAAACCTTGGGTAATTCTGAGAATAGTGTGGTCGAAAATTTTCGTAATATCCATCGAGACACAGAAGCTATACACTTTCACTCATTACAACTGTTTTTTGTCCTTTATTTTCTCTTTGGTATAAAATAGGCTTTTGTAGTTTTATCTGGCTGTTGATACAAGGGTGGGCCTATTAGACATTCTAGTTAAGTCATTAAAAGCAGCAGCTATTGTTAGGCAGTTAAAAATGTAAACCTTGTAGCCTGTTTTTACCACAGAATCTCGTATTTCATAAAAGCAGTGTGTATAGAATTTCGTAAGCTTTTATTTAAAGTTTGAATTGTTGCTTAAGGTAATTCTGTAAAATATTTTGTTATTCCCATGTTTTTATTTTAGAAGAATGTGGTGTGTTTATTAAAACTACAGATGATACCACACCAGATAACTACATTGCACAAGGTATGTATATGTCCGTGTGTATATATGTAAATATGTATGTATTAGTGCAAAAACGCAGTTAGAAGGGCAGGAAGAGATTGCTCTTAAAATGCTTCTTTACCGTATTATACTGACAACATAACTATAGTAAAACTTGTTTATCTGGCATTTGCACAGTTCAGAATTTCTATTAACATGTACTTACTTGTTCACATCTCTAATATATGGTGATCCCCTTGAAAGAACTAGAAGACCTTGAAGAACCATGTGAACCAAACTAAGCTCAAATTATATTTGATACAGTAATAAAGATTCAGTTTTATTCGAATTCTTTTAAACTTTCTCATCAACATACATCACAATTCCATTAACTAACCATAAGACCCTGTTCTCTAGCCATGAAGAATTTACTATATAGCCTTTCTTATAATTTGGGATGTGTGCATGCACACTTTAAAATATGGTTGTATTAGGGATTACAAATTCAAATCCAAAGGATTTTAAGATTTATGTTAGTGTCTTAATGTCTAAGGTTTTGTTTTGCTCTTTAAAAGCTTAGATTCTAAATGTGTTTTGAATACTAATAAAAAGAACTAGATAGTGTTAAGACAGAGGAACAGAACAATGCCCTTTCATGTCACTAATGTCATTTCACAATTACAAAGCTAAAATATGTTCCCAATTTTCAGAAATCATACTTATTTCCACATTGATCTTTTATTACTAACTTTTGAGAATTTAAATACTTGCCTGAGATAGAAATACATTTTTCTTGTAAGTTTAAGGTCAGATGACTAAAGTTAGAGTAAGATTTTGTCAAAGTAAATTGAGGCCATTGTTGTAATAATTGTGCACAAGCACTGAAATTCTGAAGGAGAGTTTTTGCTGTAAATTAAATTGGGTGATTTCAAGTGCCTCAGTTTAATGCACGTACAATATTCCTTTGCTTGTTTGTGCTACCTGTGAGAAGTAAAATTTGCCACCTTTTATAAAGTGAGGATTTGGTGGGGAGAGGGGATAGATTTGTTTTGCTTTCAGTGTGTGTAAGTGCTCATTTTTTGTGTAAGTAGCCCAGGCTAATATGACCCCTATACTGGAGGACAGTCGGACGGCCACATCCAGCCAGCATCGGAGGATATAGTGGCTGACAGGGTTGAAATGTCAGTGAATGACAAAGGACAGAATTACAATTTTCTATTAGTTGCTCAACATTTTAGTGTTGATCTTCAAAGCCAAGAAAACTTCAACTCATTTTAATAGTATATGGTTTAATAACTACTAAATGCTCCTTCCAATGGTCATGTTTAGTTGGCATCTTCAACTAATTTGCTAACATTCACAATTCTACTTAATCCTCAGTTGGGAGAGTAAAGGCATTATGATACATTGCAATAAGCATTGGATTTAAGAGCATCACTTTACTCCTGTTTGTTGTGTAACCTCAGCCAGGCCACTCACCTTCAGCAGGGGTGTCTTAAATCCTTTTTAGAATAAAGTAAAATATAAGTTTAAAAAATAAAGTATCTGAGCTGTTCTTATATGTAAAGAGAATCAGACTAATCTCTATGGGTTCTCAAAAATTATTATAAGATTGATCAATATTTAAATCTTTCACAATAGAAAATATCAGGCCAAAAAGAGTCATTATTAAGGTGTTCTGATTTTTTGTATGTGTATGTTTCAGGAAAAAGAAAAGGTAATGAAACAGTCACAACTTTAGCCAAAAGGCAAAAGACTGATGTCAGTACTGAACATCCTCCCTTTTATTACAACATCCACAGACACAGCATTAAAGGAATGAATATGCCAAAGTAAGACAACCAGTGAATGGCAAAAAGTATATGTTATATTTTAATGACATTGTGATTTACATAAAAATACAGAACCTTTTTTTTTCCTTTCCTTCCTGCAGGTTGAAAAAGTTTTTGTGCTATCTTTCTCAAGCAGGCTTTCGAGTGAGCCGAACTCATTTTGACCCAATGGGTGTTCGTACAGATGCACCTCTGATGCAATTTAAATCGATCCTTTTAAAGTACAGCACCCCTACATACACGGGAGGACAGTCGGAGGGCCACGTCCAGCCAGCATCCGAGGATACAGTGGCTGACAGGGTTGAAATGTCAATGAACGACAAAGCAGAAGCCAGCAGTTGCAGAAGATGGTAAATGTAGTCAAGAGTTACTCCAGATGTCTGTCTAGATGGCCTGGTAGTTCTCTATACCAACTGTAGTTCTTTTTCTATTCTTTTAATTCAGTGGTGTAAAAATAAAAACCAGTGCTGTTTTCATTCAGAAAATTAGCAGTTTCTAACTTAGCTAGTTTGGGAGCTGTGCTTTCCAGTTTTTTCTTATTGTAAAGAAAACTTAAAATTTTAATGAAAACATTTCATATGAAGCCAGGTTTATGACTGAGATCACCCTACCATTTAGTAACTCAGAAAACTTTCACTTGCAAAGTGTTTGGAATTTTATGTATGTTATGGAACCATCCTTTACTGTTCTTAATCACATGTCTACTTAAACTGATTCATGTCTTTCTGTTTAAGCACACAAAATGAAGCCAAAAGCCTTTTACGTATTACCCTAAATAGAACAATGCCCTTTCATGTCACTAACATTATTTCACAATTACAGAGCTAAAATGTGTTCCCAATTTTCAGAAATCATACTTCTTTCCACATTGATCTTTTAATTTATTACTAGCTTTTGAGAATTTAAATACTTGTCTGAGATAGAAATAAGTTTTTCTTTTAAGTTTAAGGTCAGGTGACTGAAGTCAGAGTAAGAGTTTGTCAAAGTAAATTGAGACCATTGTTCTAATAGTTGTTCATAAGCACCGAAATTCTGGAGAGTTTTTGCTGTAAATTAAATTGGGTGATCTCAAGTGCCTCAGTTAATGCACGTACAATATTCCTTTGCTTGTTTGTGCTACCTCTCAGAAGTAAAACTTGCCACCTTATGAACTTACGAAGTAAGGATTTTTTGGGGGGGTGGTGGGAGACAGATTTGCTTTGTTTTTGGGTGTGTGTATGTGCTCATTTTTTTGTAGAAGTAGCCCAGGCTAACATGACTATGAAAATTAGTAGAAACTCCATTAATAAATTTTGTTCTTGCTTCATTTGAATGTAAAAGTTTGGATAACAGGATTTGGTATAAAATTTAGATTTTTGTCTCAAGGACTTAATCCATATTTACCCTGAATTATTTTTTAGAGGAAGTAACTTTTTATCTGAGCATAAAGCTTGGGGGATGGAGAAGAGTTATAACTGAAAAGGTTTTAAATACACTATGGAAGAAAAAAAGCACACCCATGACATATTTAAAGATCCAGGGAGTGAGATCAACATAGTAGATGAGCAGAAATAAAAAAAAAATTCTTTGTGTTATTATAGCATAGTCCTAGGAGGATGTGTTTTCCCGCATTGGTAGAATCGTATTTAAATAAACGAACAGATGAACTACAAGTGATATACTAGAATGACCCCCCAAAAAACCCTGTAACTTTTGCCAGTTAAAATTATTACAAATGAGCACAAAAAGAAATAAAAGTTATTACTTTTTTGTTTATATACTTAAAAATTACTATAAATCCACAAGGCAAACCAGCGCTTGGACCATCTGTACATATTGTTAAATTGAGTATCCGTCTCAAATCTTGCCAAATGCTTATCAGCATGACATATTTTGATCAGTGATAACGTTGGGCTTTATGCCAGGAGCCTAATTTGATAGAGAAATAATATATAAATTACTGTTATTTAAAATATATGTTGTGTTTTAATTTCACATACACAGATTTTCCAAAGAAAGGTGTGGTGAGAAGTAGTCAGGAACTCTGTTAAGGTAATGTTATCAACCTAAAGAGGAAATACTTTTAAAATTCCAAATAATGCTACATTAGCGCCTTGTCCCCATTAACTACTGTGGTAGTTTGGGGCATGCAGATGTTGAGTGCATTGTAAAATAGTATCAGTTGTACTGCTCCATTAAATTTTGATTAATACAAGCAGCCAGTTTTTACTCTACCATCAGGAAACCAGTATGTTGACTCTGCTAGCTGCTTACGTCACTACTCTAACCATACACTCGAGAAATAGAAGAAGGAAGGAAGGAATGGGGTTGGGAGCCAACGTGGTGGATTTGGGTTAAAACCCCGTTTATCACCTGAGTTCAACCAGACTCCACTCTGAATAAATGCATGATGTTCTGGTTTCCAGAAATCAGAACTTAAGACCAGTTCAGTAATCCCAAAAGGTCTAGGAATTTCTTTCCTCGGTGCATAATTGCTCTGGCAAATGGCCCAGGTTACTCTGGAGAAGGCTAAGAGGAAAATACCTATCATAGCCTTGTGATGTTTTGGCAGGGTCCTTTCTCAAAGTGCTCTGAAAATACGAATTAAATCAGGCCTGGGAATTGCTAAGGTATCATGACAACTATTGTGGCTCAAGTCAGACCTGTAGTTTTCAGTTATATAAATCAAGTAGGGCCACTCTGGCCCTTTACATCACATGACCAATTAGCCAAAGCCAAAAAAATCCTATGTCAGACTATACTGATCATCCTGTCAGTCCTACTGGCTGACAGTAGGACTCTAACTATGTACACCTCTCTGGGCCAGCAGTTAAGGGAACTAAGTTTCTGACACACTGCTGCTTGGGCAATGTCCACTGAATAATCATCTTCCACAGGCATCCCTGGCCAACTGACACACTATTCAAGGATGCCCTGCTCACCACTGTATTTCCCAAGCCTAGGTAAAGAGAGCTGACCAGGCTCTTGTGAGATATATAGTGAGACAGTGGTGAGCAGATCACACATAATACATTCTCTCCAATATTCCCCCTTTTAAGTCTTTGATTTCCTTTCTCTACATTATATCACAGCATTTCTAGCATCTTCCCTCCAGTTTAGATGAGCCAGTCCTGAGTTTTTCTTTCAGTCAGTAAACAGAGCCACATCCCACAACATCCCACAAGCTGACAACTGAGCCAGAATTTCGGGTACAAGTGTACCCATATCAATAATTTAACCCAATTTAAAATTACATTCCTGCAAGACCCAACATAGTCTATTTCCACAGGTATACTCCACATATCATTAGTATATATGATCAAAAAAGCATTCTTTCAGGTCACACTTAGTACTTGTCCCCAAGGACATGCTGGGATCTGACTCTATATCCTGCAGGCAATAAAGGATTGTAGCTACCTATACAGCAAACGGGCTGCTTTTTGCAAGATAACTAACTCCTTGAAGTGCACTTAAGGGGTCATCTGCCAAGGCAGCAGACATCCAAGGAGCTTCTTCCATTTTCAGTGAGGGTTAGTGGCGTTAAGGATTTAGGATACTCATTCATCCAAATCTTTCCAAAATTTTTATTCCAATTCAAAGAATATTGCTGTTTACTGACCAGTATCTTTACTCTCACTTGAAAGACTCCACCACACAGCAAATTCAGCCAATTTACTAGAACAAACTTTCTATCCAGTATCTCAGGCTTAAAGCTACAGGGGAGGTTGGAAAAGTGAGCACCTCACAATTTTAGTCTCCATACAGAGATTGATTTTTCCTCTTTAGGGAATTCACAAAGCCCAGGAAGAGGTTACAAAGGCTGAACATCTTTAAAAAAAAAAAAAAAAAAAAAAGTGGGGGCACCGGAGTGGCTCAGCTCAGTCTATTAAGTGTCCAACTCTTGATTTCAGCTCAGGTCATGATCTCAGTTTGTGGGTTCCAGCCCCACATCACGCTCCGTGATGACAGTGCAGAGCCTGCTTGGGATTCTGTCTATCTCTCTCTCTGCCCCTCCCCTGCTCACGCTGGCATACTCTCTCAAAATAACTTTAGAAAAGTATTAATAAAAAAAACAGTGACTGCATTTGTCTACAACACCTTGTCATCCACAGCTATATGATCCCTTTCTCTGCCGCCACCCTTTCCACACCCAGAAAGGACCAACACCCCCCCTTCTAGCCTAAAGATCCTTTTCTAGCTCTCAAGTGTAGATAAGACTGTTAACTTTGAAATGTGAGTAAACTGAATCTGAATTATCCCCAAACTGTAAACTTCAACCTACTTTATAGGAATATTTCCTATATTTCCTAGGAAGTGGCATATTAACTGCAATAGCTTGTATTTATGAGATTTAGCACTGCACAGTGTTGTTTCTACACAGATTATATCCTATAAATTACAGCAAGGCTAAGCGAGATTAATTTATTCAATGCCATTCTAAAACTGGCAGGTGAAGGAACCAGGACCCAACCCCAGGCCTTACCGAAGTGGTCTTGCTTTTAGCCACTTCATGATCGATCTTTAGCAAAAGACATACATATGTAAGACAAAAGTGGAATTGTAAAAAAAGTGTAATTATAAAAAAAAAAAGCAGTCCCATAGAAAATTCTGATACATAATTATTACAAAATTATAGTTAACTACTAGCCTCCTGCACATTTTCTATCTGAAACCCTTTTAACTAGTATACCTTATACTCAATAATTATCAATACATATGTGGAAAGCACTTTCAGCTTTGTTTCCATCTTCTACTGCCAAGATTTTCCCAGAACATAGTTTTTGATTGATAGCAAAATCATGGCAAACTACAACTCCAGCATTTCTAGGGACTTTATGCTGGAAGGGAACAGAGTCATCTCACCAGAAGTATGGGGCCCCCTCCACTATGCCTGGTGTCCCAAGTCTCACACAACTCTGGGTCATTTTCTATAGAGAACTAATTGCCCTTATGCTGCTGGAACAGTGGAAAGAGTAATCTGGTGGTAAGGGAAAGTTTCTGTGGGTCCAAATACTCCTCAGATACACCATTAACCTATCCCATTTTCACACCGATTTTGCTGGAAAGGCAAGCCAAAGTCTCCAATTGCTAAGCATTTTGTAGATGTTTTCAATCTTCCTCCAACCTGCTAAATCAGTTACCACCGTCCATGTGAAAACATCTCACTTCTCAATATGTTGACAACACCCATTATCTCCACAATTCTTTTTTACCTGAATTTATTCATTAAAAACCCAAAAGTATTCCTTTGGCATCTTAGTGGTGTTTGGTTTAAACTGCGCAGTTTAGGGGGCACCTGGGTGGCTCAGCTGGTTAAGCCTCTGACTTCGACTCAGGTCATGTTATCACACACACTTCGTGAGTTCGAGCCCCAT